CGGGCCCAGGAGAGCGAAGAGACTTCCCTGGCTGGTCACTTAGATGTCTGTGGCTGCCCTGGTGTCTCTGAGCAGGGGCGGTGCTCCAGTCACAGCTCAATATGGAGGAAAGTGAGGACACGAGGCTGCAGATGAGAAGTGGAAGAAAACTGTGCCCATAACCTGGAGACCCCTGCAGGTGAGGGTCTGTGCAGACAAGCTGGCGGAGGGCAGGGCGGGTGGCGGGGCTGTTGCCACTGGTGGCGAGTGTCCCGGTGACGCGAGGCGGATAGGACAGCAGGGACTAGGCAGGCAGAAAGACGCACTGACTCTGCACCATCTTCTCTTCTCTCTGTTGGTGCTCACTCACCGGAGAGCCATTTGTGTAGGCAGGTAATGTTTTACTGTATCTGAGTTTTTTGTTTAATAAAGATGTCAAAAGAAACTGAGATCAAATTAAATTGTGTTGTTATGGTATTTTCCTCACTTTTAAAATTAGTAGAATGCTCCCAAGGGACTGAAGGCCTATTTGGCAAGGCAACTTTCTTCATCTCTGGGAAGAAATAGGTGAAATGCCTAAAGGGCCATCCCCTTGTCAGCATCGCCCCTTTATCTGGGGGGCATCCCCACAGCTCTGCTTGTGGTCAGTGAGGGGGCAGAGGTGTGACCTCGGTCCTGGTTGTTCACAGGGAGGAGCAGATGGACAGCGCAGGCCCCAGAACTTTGTCCTATTCCCCAGTGGTGAAAAAACCAAGGGCCCTTGGTTTTGAGCAGGAGAGCCTGGAGACAGTACATGGGGACCCTCTACTATGCTTTGAGCGGGACTTCTGCTTTTCAGGGAAAAGCTTGAGATTGATTCTGCATTAAAAACTGATTTTCAGATCGCCAGCCCAGGTTGGATGCATGAGACAAGTGCTCAGGGCTGGTGCACTGGGAAGACCCAGAGGGATGGGATGGGAAGGGAGGTGGGAGGGGGGATCAGGATGGGGAACACATGTAAATCCATGGCTGATTCATGTCAATGTATGGCAAAGACTGCTACAATATTGTAAAGTAATTAGCCTCCAGCTAATAAAAATAAATGAAAAAATAAATAATTAAAAAAAACCCAAAAACTGATTTTCAAGAACAGTTTTTGATTTTACAGGAAAACTTAGCAGAGAGTACAGAGTGTTCCCATACTTGCTCATACCCCAAATCCAACTTTTCCCTGTTGTGACATCTTATTTTCCCATGGTACAGTTGTCATAGTTATGAACCAGTATTGATACGTTAGTGTTCATGCTGGCTCTCATATATTCTATGGCTTTTGGCAAATGCATAATGTCTTACAGAGTAGTTTCATCAACTGAAAAATCCCATTCTCCACCTCTTCATCCCTCCCCTGAGCCCTGGCAACCACTGGTCCTTTTACTGTTTCTACAGTCTTGTCTTTGGCAAAACGTCCTATAGGACGCAGACTTTCAGACCGGCTTCTTCTACTTAGTGATGTGAATTTACGATGCCGCCATGTCTTTGTGTGGCCTGAAAGCTCCTTTCTTTCTGGCTGAATAACATCCCACTGTCTGGATGCACCATGGCTTGTTCGTCTGCTCGCCACTGAAGGGCACGCGCACTGCCCAGCAGACTCTTCACGCAGAAGCAGCAAAGCCAGGATATATCATGGATTTTTCAGGGACAGAGGCTTTAATGCCCTTGGACTTCTGTGAACCTAAGTTGTCCAAGGTGCAGGCAAATCAGAAATTTAAAGGAGCAAATACTTATGAAACTGCTTTTAGCTCTGTTGATAACAAGTACTTAGATGGGTTGCTGATTAGGTCAATGAGCAGGTCAAATAAACACTAAATGTTTTCCATTTTTAACAGAAAAATGGCTACTTTAGGGCCATAATAGGGCTTCCCCAACAGCTCAGTGGTAAAGAACCGGCCTGCCAATGCAGGAGACACAGGTTCAATCCTTGGTTTGGGAGGACCCCCTGGAGGAGGACATGGCAACACGCTCCAATATTCTTGCTGGAGAATCCCATGGACAGAAGAGCCTGGCGGGCTACAGTCCACGGGGTCGCAAAGAGTCAGACACGACGAACATAACTTAATATGCGCGCACACACACACAAATACAGCCGTAATAAGGGCAAATTTAACATACAGTTTTGAACATTTGCCACATGAAGAGAACATGGAGACATGATGAAATTGAACAAGGATTTGCCTGAAGGCGTGCCTGCCTTTCCAGGCCTGCACCTGCCGTGCAGTGACCTCTGTTACAACTGGCCGGGAAGTGTGCCGGGAGGCTGGGGTTTAAGTCCTGGAAACACAGACAATCAGAGCACATGAGGGTTTTGCAAGGCACGGCTTTGTGCTTTTCTTCTGCAGTTTTTACTTTTAAAGGTAAAACTTACCTTGTTTTTACAACGAATTCTGAGTGTTGCCTTGAAACACATGGGCTTAAACAGTGGTTTCGCTTGTTAGTGCAACGGTGGAAAACCTACTCCTTTCCTCCTTCCGTGTGTAATTACACAGTGTAGCGTAGCAGGACCAGTCACTCTCGATGTAAAGCGTGTCGTCTGTTTTAGGGGCAGGGTTTTTTTCCGGGAACAATGTTTTTTTTAATTTGTATTGCCGCATAGATGCTTTACAAGGTTGTGTTAGTCTCTGCTATATAGCAAAGTGAAGCAGCCACATAGTCACATATGAAGTGACAGTGAAATGGTTAGTCGCTTAGTCGTGCAGCCATGTCCGATGCTTTTGCAAGTTGACTGTAGCCCACCAGGCTCCTCTGCCCATGGGGTTCTCCAGGCAAGAATACTGGCGTGGGTAGCCATTTCCTACTCCAGGGGATCTTCCTGACCCAGGGATTGACCCGCGTCTCCTGCATGGCAGGTGGGTACTTGACTGTCTTGGCCACAAGGGGCCCCTCTTTCTCGGATTTCCACCCCGTCTCAGTCACCATGGAGCAGCGAGCAGGGTTCCCTGGGCCACACAGTGTGTTCTCACTAGTTACGGGTTTTCTGTGTAGTTTCAGCAGCGTGTACATGTCCATCCCAGCCTCCCTACGCCCCCCTGACCCCCTTGGTGTCCGCACGTCTGCTCTCTACATCTGTCTCCATTTCTGCTTTTCAAATAAGGTCATCTGTAGCATTCTTCTCGATCCACATGGATGCATTAATAGATGATGTTTGTTTTTCTCTTTCTGACTTATTTCACTCTGCATGATCGTCTCCAGGTCCATTCACATCTCAAAAACTAACAATTTGAACATAATCTAATTAATCCCCACATTTTCATCGTGACTGTAGATGTTACTCAACTTTGATGCCTAAATAAAAGAAATGGGAGTTTGCTGTACATGAGGCCAGAGCCACTCTGTCAATGAGGACGTGGGCACGGCATCTAGGAACATCAAAGCTCGGGCTCCGGTACCCGCCCTGGTACCGTTGTCCATCCAAGCAGTTTACATCTGGTGCTGATGCCTCGCGAAATGCATGCATGGAAACTTCCAGTCACACTCGGAAAGTTTGGCAGATGGTGTCTCTTTTCGCTTAGTTTTTTTTTTTTTCCAATATTCCCCCTGAAACTCCAGCTCCAAGCCCTCGACCCCCCAGCTCGACACCTTTTTTGTTAATAGATCTAATCAGCAGCGTGTCGGACAACAGAAGCCCTCTCTGTGGGCACTGTTCGGACAAGGGGAGCCCCGCTGTAGATCACCAGAGTAAACAACTCTGGCCGATTCAATTACAAGGCTGGCCCTGGCTTTTATCTGGCTGTGACATCATTTCAATCAAAATGTAAAATAATACAATCCAATAGTTGCAAGAGGAAGAGATAGGACACAGGCGGCTGCACTTAGTCATTTAATAAAAAGAGGAGAGGGAGGTGGGGCCGGCGCCTCTGACAGCCGGCGAGGGTGCCCGACTCCCAACCTCCATTACCTGCTGTAATAGCGTTCAAGGCCCTGAATGCAGGAGATTGCCTCTTACTTTTTATTAGTGGAAGCTGCTATGTAGGATGCAGCCTACTGCACTGTTCTTTTTTTTTTTGCTTTGTTCGTTTAATTAACAAAAGCATGAAATCTCCCTATTGGCAGCTTTCTCCTTGAAGCTTCTATTGCTTTTTTCCCCCCTCAGAGCTGGAATTTTATTCATTTCCTTTGTCTTTGATTTTTTTTTTTAAATGGTGATGTTTTCCAAGACCCGCAAATCCTGATGAGAAGAAAAACAGGATTCCAGGGCAAACACAGTGTCTCTAAACTGCTTGGGCTGTGAAAACCATGGGCAGGACGTTTCCTCTTCATGGCACTGTTTGTGGGAAAGGTCCCCTTTCGATCCTGAGACTTTTACAGGGAGGAGGGGACAGCGAGTGTCGCCTGCTTTGCGTCCGGGCGGCGCAAGCAAGCGATAATAACCGGTTCTATCTATCGGGTCTGAAAGCCAGGAGAGAGGAACGGAGACCACGGTTTAGCAGGAGGGGCGGAGCATGTCAGGAAGCTGGCTCCTGGGCCCTGTCCCATCTGGGCATCGACCATGACCCAGGATAGTCTGATCAGGTGATCAGTCAGTTCACTGTTTTTCCTTGAACTGTATCCAGTTTATAAGAATCAATCATTTTTTTAAAGGAAAAAAAAATGTTTTCCGTCAATATTTTTGATCATTTGCTACATGAGCAGCTCCACCAAAGAACCTGCATTGAATGAGCCCAGAGCAGGGTCATTTGATGAGATGGCCCATGGGTGTGAACAGGCCCCCCCGCCCCAGGAGTATTTGAGGCTCCAGCTCTGTGATGATTGGATTTGGTTCTCCCTGGCAGAAGAGAGATAGCTACAATTTCCCCCGCCCAGCCTTGGGAAGAGCACAGTGTCGTTTGGAAGGTGGAATCTTTATAATAGAAGTTACATAACAACATGTTCCATTACAACTGGGAGCGAAACAAGAAATCAGGAAATTGGGTGACTTGTATAAGAGGAAGCTAAATGGGGCTTTCAGGTGCCCTCCGAGATGAGGAGCAGGGCTCCTCGTCCTCCAGGGCCTCGGGCTCACCCCCAAGCCTCGCTCGGGGAGCACGACCTCTGGCCTCCTGTCCCTCCCGTCCAGGGCCAACCACGGCAAAGAACCGAAGCTCCGGAGGAGCTGGTGGCCTCCGTCTGCGTGGTCCTCCGGCTGGCGTCTGCTCCATCTCTGCCTGTGGGAAGGGGGCGCTCCCTGACCCCTGGGGCCAAACGAGGGAGAGTCCTGTGCACCCAGTCTGGGCTCGGGACAGCCGATGTGGAGAGCAAGGGTGCCCACCTAGAACCCCCGCCCCTCCACTCTGGGGCTCTGAGCAAGAAGGAGGATAAAGCGGATTCCAGTGGAGGGACTGGCCACAAGCTTCCAAATGTGTTTGGACCCGGCTGTGACCCTTTGACCTAGCTTCTTCTGTGAGCCCTGAAAACACCAGGAGGTCTGGGTGTCTGGTTATTTACCAAATACTTGGTAGATGTCCACTTTCTTTTTCCTGCTTCCAAAGGAGTCTTCAAAGAGGTCAGAATCTGAGTGAAAATACTGTATCACATTGGGGTTGGAATACTTGAAGACCTCTGCAGGGCATCTAAACTGTTTCTCCTTCTCTCTGCAGTTTCATCTTTCAGATCAGTCTTTCCCAGCTCATGGTATGTGCAGGGCTGGTGGGGCTGGACAGACAGCTGGACAGACAGCTGGACAGACAGCTGAAGCAGCTAAAGGCCCTGCAACGTGTGCTGTGTGGGGGTCATGTGACACGTGGTGTGATGGTCGTGTGTCGTGGTCGGGTGATGTAGGGGGTCCCAGGATGCACGGTGGTTGGCTGCCATACAGACGTCATACCTTGCCTGCCGGTGGTCACACGATGCCTCACAGCGTGCAGCACCCACGTGACTCATGCTGGTCACGTGACAAACCATGTGAAGCTTAAACACCACAGACCATACATCAGAGGTACCTGTTCTTGAAAGAGCTTCTCTCCTCCAGCTCCGGACCTTCCCCTGACCCAGAGCCTGGCTTTTTACCACTTTACCTGGGCTTCCCTCATAGTTCAGTCGGTAAAGAATCTGCCTGCAATGCAGGAGACCTGGGTTCGATTCCTGCGTCAGGAAGATCCCCTGGAGAGGGAAGTGGCAACCCACTACAGTATTCTTGCCTGGAGACTCCCATGGGCAGAGGAGCCTGGCGGGCTACAGTCCATGGGGTCACAAGAGTCAGACACGACTTAGCGACTAAATCACCACTTGTATTTCACGGCAGAGACACCTGCCACCTTCCTGATTTGTCTACCCCTCCTCCAGGGCTTCTTTCCTAGCAAACCCAGGTCCCCGCTGCCTCTCTGTCTTTCTTGAGTCTCCTGATCAGGCTTGTTCTGCTGATGCTCAGACAAGGGGCTGCTGACTCCACCCAGGCATCATGGGTCACTGAATCCATTGCTGGCCAAGCCTGCACTGACCACAGCAGCGGCACTTCCAGCCCCACTCCTGCTTGAATACCTCCATCCCGAGGCTCCTCCACCCTGTGGCTCCTCCATCCCGAGGCTACTCCATCCCACGGCTCCTCCACCCTGTGGCTCCTCCATCCCGAGGCTCCTCCATCCCGAGGCTCCTCCATCCCATGGCTCCTCCATCCCATGGCTCCTCTGTCCTGAGGCTCCTCCATCCCGAGGCTCCTCCATCCCATGGCTCCTCTGTCCCGAGGCTCCTCCATCCCACGGCTCCTCCATCCTGTGGCTCCTCCATCCTGAGGCTCCTCCATCCCGAGGCTCCTCCATCCCATGGCTCCTCCATCTTGATGCTCCTCCGTCCCAAGGTTCCTCCACCCCATGGCTCCTCCATCCTGAGGCTCCTCTGTCCCGAGGCTCCTCCATCCCACGGCTCCTCCACCCTGTGGCTCCTCCATCCCGAGGCTCCTCCATCCCATGGCTCCTCTGTCCCGAGGCTCCTCCATCCCACGGCTCCTCCATCCTGTGGCTCCTCCACCCTGAGGCTCCTCCATCCCATGGCTCCTCCATCCCAAGGTTCCTCTATCCCGAGGCTCCTCCATCCCATGGCTCCTCCATCCCAAGGTTCCTCCATCCTGAGGCTCCTCTGTCCCGAGGCTCCTCCATCCCACGGCTCCTCCACCCTGAGGCTCCTCCATCCCATGGCTCCTCCATCCCATGGCTCCTCCACCCTGTGGCTCCTCCATCCCAAGGCTCCTCTGTCCTGAGGCTCCTCCATCCCATGGCTACTCCATCCCGAGGCTCCTCCATCCCGAGGCTCCTTCATCCCATGGCTCCTCTGTCCTGAGGCTCCTCCATCCTGAGGCTCCTCCATCCCGAGGCTCCTCCATCCCATGGCTCCTCCATCTTGATGCTCCTCCATCCCAAGGTTCCTCCAGCCCATGGCTCCTCCATCCCGAGGCTCCTCTGTCCCGAGGCTCCTCCATCCTGAGGCTCCTCTGTCCCGAGGCTCCTCCATCCCAAGGTTCCTCCATCCTGAGGCTCCTCTGTCCCGAGGCTCCTCCATCCCACGGCTCCTCCACCCCGAGGCTCCTCCATCCCACGGCTCCTCCATCCCATGGCTCCTCCATCCCGAGGCTCCTCCATCCTGAGGCTCCTCTGTCCCGAGGCTCCTCCATCCCATGGCTCCTCCACCCCGAGGCTCCTCCATCCCACGGCTCCTCCATCCCAAGGTTCCTCCATCCCACGGCTCCTCCACCCCGAGGCTCCTCCACCCCGAGGCTCCTCCATCCCATGGCTCCTCCATCCCAAGGTTCCTCCATCCTGAGGCTCCTCTGTCCCGAGGCTCCTCCATCCTGAGGCTCCTCTGTCCCGAGGCTCCTCCATCCCATGGCTCCTCCACCCCGAGGCTCCTCCATCCCACGGCTCCTCCATCCCAAGGTTCCTCCATCCCACGGCTCCTCCACCCCGAGGCTCCTCCACCCCGAGGCTCCTCCATCCCACGGCTCCTCCATCCCAAGGTTCCTCCATCCCACGGCTCCTCCACCCCGAGGCTCCTCCACCCCGAGGCTCCTCCATCCCATGGCTCCTCCATCCCAAGGTTCCTCCATCCCGAGGCTCCTCCATCCCGAGGCTCCTCTGTCCTGAGGCTCCTCCATCCCGAGGCTCCTCCATCCCATGGCTCCTCCATCCCAAGGTTCCTCCATCCTGAGGCTCCTCCATCCCGAGGCTCCTCCATCCCACGGCTCCTCCACCCCGAGGCTCCTCCATCCCATGGCTCCTCCATCCCAAGGTTCCTCCATCCTGAGGCTCCTCCATCCCGAGGCTCCTCCATCCCACGGCTCCTCCACCCCGAGGCTCGTCCACCCCGAGGCTCCTCCATCCCATGGCTCCTCCATCCCAAGGTTCCTCCATCCTGAGGCTCCTCCATCCCATGGCTCCTCCATCCCAAGGTTCCTCCATCCTGAGGCTCCTCCATCCCGAGGCTCCTCCATCCCATGGCTCCTCCATCCCAAGGTTCCTCCATCCTGAGGCTCCTCTGTCCCGAGGCTCCTCCATCCCACGGCTCCTCCATCCCAAGTTTCCTCCATCCTGAGGCTCCTCTGTCCCGAGGCTCCTCCATCCCACGGCTCCTCCATCCCAAGGTTCCTCCATCCGGAGTCTCCTCTGTCCCGAGGCTCCTCCATCCCACGGCTCCTCCACCCCGAGGCTCCTCCATCCCATGGCTCCTCCATCCCAAGGTTCCTCCATCCCAAGGTTCCTCCATCCTGAGGCTCCTCTGTCCCGAGGCTCCTCCATCCTGAGGCTCCTCCATCCCACGGCTCCTCCACTCTGAGGCTCCTCCACCCCGAGGCTCCTCCATCCCATGGCTCCTCCATCCCAAGGTTCCTCCATCCTGAGGCTCCTCCATCCCGAGGCTCCTCCATCCCACGGCTCCTCCACCCCGAGGCTCCTCCATCCCATGGCTCCTCCATCCCAAGGTTCCTCCATCCTGAGGCTCCTCCATCCCGAGGTTCCTCCATCCCACGGCTCCTCCATCCCGAGGTTCCTCCATCCCATGGCTCCTCCATCCCAAGGTTCCTCCATCCTGAGGCTCCTCCATCCTGAGGCTCCTCCATCCCGAGGCTCCTCCATCCCACGGCTCCTCCATCCCGAGGTTCCTCCATCCCATGGCTCCTCCATCCCAAGGTTCCTCCATCCCACGGCTCCTCCACCCTGAGGCTCCTCCATCCCACGGCTCCTCCATCCCGAGGTTCCTCCATCCCATGGCTCCTCCATCCCAAGGCTCCTCCATCCCACGGCTCCTCCACCCTGAGGCTCCTCCATCCCATGGCTCCTCTGTCCCGAGGCTCCTCCATCCCAAGGTTCCTCCATCCTGAGGCTCCTCTGTCCCGAGGCTCCTCTGTCCCGAGGCTCCTCCATCCCACGGCTCCTCCATCCCAAGGTTCCTCCATCCTGAGGCTCCTCTGTCCCGAGGCTCCTCTGTCCCGAGGCTCCTCCATCCCACGGCTCCTCCATCCCAAGGTTCCTCCATCCTGAGGCTCCTCCATCCCGAGGCTCCTCCATCCCACGGCTCCTCCATCCCGAGGCTCCTCCATCCCATGGCTCCTCCATCCCAAGGTTCCTCCATCCTGAGGCTCCTCCATCCCGAGGCTCCTCCATCCCACGGCTCCTCCATCCCAAGGTTCCTCCATCCCATGGCTCCTCCACCCTGAGGCTCCTCCATCCCATGGCTCCTCCATCCCAAGGTTCCTCCATCCTGAGGCTCCTCTGTCCCGAGGCTCCTCTGTCCCGAGGCTCCTCCATCCCACGGCTCCTCCATCCCAAGGTTCCTCCATCCTGAGGCTCCTCCATCCCGAGGCTCCTCCATCCCACGGCTCCTCCATCCTGAGGCTCCTCCATCCCATGGCTCCTCCATCCCAAGGTTCCTCCATCCTGAGGCTCCTCCATCCCGAGGCTCCTCCATCCCACGGCTCCTCCATCCCAAGGTTCCTCCATCCCATGGCTCCTCCACCCTGAGGCTCCTCCATCCCATGGCTCCTCCATCCCAAGGTTCCTCCATCCTGAGGCTCCTCTGTCCCGAGGCTCCTCCATCCCACGGCTCCTCCGTCCCGAGGCTCCTCCATCCTGAGGCTCCTCTGTCCCGAGGCTCCTCCATCCCAAGGTTCCTCCATCCTGAGGCTCCTCCATCCCATGGCTCCTCCACCCCATGGCTCCCCTGTCCCGAGGCTCCTCCATCCCGAGGCTCCTCTATGCCCCCTTTTCTGGCTTGGGGCCTCTCCTTGGCCCTTGTCGCCACATCACACAATATCCAGATTCATCCCTCTGATTCTCATTCCCCCATCCCCACCGTCTAACCATATGCCCAGCGACTCTGACCTGTTTTCCATGCTGGGCTCTACCCTCTTCCCTCTGAGGCCTTCTGGGCGGGCTCCTAGAAAATGCGGAGTGCTCCGTTTAGATACAC